AAAGAATTTAAGAAACGACTTTTTTATTAGTTATTGTTTTTTCGCAAGATCTAGCACATGTTAGAAAATATTCTGCAGGTTGTCATTATTTATATTACTTTCTTAACAGAGATCAGACTTCACAAACATTTTGCCGCGCCTTTTATATAACTAAAGTCAATTATTCATGCGAAATTTACGGGAAGCATTTAAATATCGCGTTTATATTCTCGTTAAATTCAATAAAATATTTATTATTCAATAAAATTTTTGTAAAAATGCTCGCTATACGTGATCTCACGCGAACGGAATATGATGAATTTGTAATTTTTCTCACAGGAGACTTGCGATGAACCTCAAGATTTCACGATGTGGTTACATTTACGAACCATACAAACGCAAGCCTCTCGTGCTTTCCCGATTTAGTTTGTGTATGCTTTACATATCTATGTTTGTGCGCAATAACTCTACGCTCGCGGAAAATTTCACATGGCTATGAAGAAATCAACAAGACGGTACGCAAAGACGAGACCAAAGAGAATTAACGTTGAGATGAAAGTAAATGATGTAAGACGCTAATGTAAAATGCTACACACGATCTTCAGTGCACTGTAGTGAAAACGAACGCAAGTTATTGATCCCCTTTGTACTCGACCGTCAATAAAATTCTACACTTAATATTCCTTTCATATATTTTCATTCATGAACTTAAATTTCTTGAAATGGTAAAATTGAATCTATGAACTCCAACCTCATTCATAATTTATCACAAGATATATTATTAAGATAATTAATCATGGAACTTTCTGTTAAAATATTAAATACCATGTAATTATGGAATTTATTACAATTACTATGATTAATAAAATTAACTTATAAAACATAAAATTATATATATGTATGTACGTTGGTTTTTATTATTAATCTAAATCATTTCAAGTTTTTTCGATGTGTTACGCTTTTACGATGTGATAGCTTTTATATGTGTGAAATTGTATTATTAAAATAAATATAAAAATTATGCAAAATTGTCGCACAAATATAACGAGTGCATCTTACTGATTGAAATGCATTGAAAGCTTCGAAATGCTGACTCAAATTTCAATGTTATTCAAGCTAGGAATTTCAACTTCCGAACAAAGCGTTGAGACGTAATGTCACCGAGAATACGCTTTTGTTTTTGTTTTTTATTTCCGTCTACATTTTCCGTCCTACCTGCGAATGACCGAGGATGTGATGTGAAATTTTATGCATCGGCACCGGGCTATGCTTGTCACCTCCGGCGCGGGCTGGTCTATAAAATATTCAGATAAGATCTGTCGGTACGCGGTTTCACCTTCGGAAGCTTAGCGTGTGCACGCGTGGGAAATAAAAGTGCGCTCTATGGAAATTGGAAATCGACGATGCCAACATCGACATATACTTCCGTAAGGATTTTAATTTATCATTCTTGCCCGAGATTATTCATTAAATTAAAAGAAAAACCGTTTTAATGCAGATTATATGAGGTTGCACAAAAAAAAAAACTTATAACGTTCGTAACAATTGTGAAAAGTACATAAAAAAATAATCTCATAATTAGAGAAAGAGTTATTAATGCCAGTATTTTATGCGATGAAGAACATTAATCTGCACAGTAACACATAAAAAATGTAATAATAGAAAAAACATGAGAAAATTAAACATACAGCGCACCATTTTAAAACTACGTGATCGTAATTCCAACGTGAGATATGACTTTGAGAGAGTTTTGACTTGGCACGAGACTCGTAATTGGGACTGGTATCCCAATGGAGCTGTTTCATAATTCAAACGTATGCACGGCTTTTCCCGATAACGCAAAAATTTGAAATAAATCAGTGTCGAAAGTACAGCGCGCATTAAATACATGTGTGTGCATCGGAAAATCACATCGTTAATTTCAACTATATATGACAGTCATCTTATTCTTCTTTCAATAGATTAACGTTACAATAACGCAAACGCTATACTGACAAAATAAGTGTTCACTTTCGAATATTGAGCAAAAGAAATATAAGAATAGCGTATAATTTAACTAATTTACATAAAATGTGATTGCGATTTTTTTATTTGTTGTATACTTCCATTTTTGTGAATGTTATTGAAAGTGGAATTATTTATTGTTAAGAGCATATCTTATTATTTCGAGAATAATGTTTTACTTTTCTTGTATTTAATACTTAGCTTTCTATCGTAACAGAATGTTCTTGCAATCTACAACGTGACGTTGCGCCGTAAGACGAAGACGTCATCGTGTGCTATACATGTACAATTTTCATGAAGAACGTTGTGCGCCCCATTATTTCTGTTTATTTGGTTTATAAAAAGAGCTTTACCAAAGATTGGAAATTTAAAAATGGAATTAGTATGATTGTTTGATCAGAAAAACATAGATGCAACTTAAAAATAAAAGCACATGCAAAACTGCAGATATGTTCCTAATAATATTTCTCATTTTGATTGCTTATTGTTTTATTAATTTTTTCTGTCTTATCTTGTTTATGAAAAATCGAAGGAATTCGACATTTAATCTGTATTCTCATTGTTCCATGTAAACTACACTTGTCTCGCAAACCACAACGTGCAGATGTCGAATATCAGGACGATATCAAACGTCCGGCACACGTACAATTCCCCACGAGAGATACTATATACGCATGAATGTATGTGTAAAGTCGATCATACAGTCCCAGAACACACTGACGTTAAACTTCGAATAGTTCCTCTGAACCCCGAGAAAAAGAATGATGAGAAAGTAGAAAGAAAAGTGTATTTAAAAACTGAACGAAATTAATCAATAGTTCTAATTTACAACGAAAAAAGTGCATCTTTTTTCTAAGAAAAACGTAAAATTTTATACTTCTTATAGATTTACCATTATTGAGAGAGTGAATATTATAAAACTATCAGCTTATAGGCATATGAAATATATTAATTGAATATCGATTGGAAAACATCATTTGTCATCAGTTTAATTTTTTTCATGCTCTCGTCTTTGTTATTAAAGTTTGAAACATAATTTTTTTCGATATCTGAAATTTGCAAACAATTTGAAGAATAGATTGAGTTTTATTCGAAAATTAAAAATCTTGTAGCAAAAATGACGTAAGCATTATTTTATACATTTTATATATAATATTTCAAAACAATCTTCATTAATATCACATAGCAGATGAAATTGCGGTGGTTCTTGTCCTATGCTTGTGTGTGTTTTACTTCGCACTTGGAATGGCAAACGATGATAAAAATTGCTTTCCCCGGAGAATCACTTTGATTAATTTTACTTTTTATTTTATGCAAAGAATTCTGTTAATTGTAATTAAATTAAAAATTCATTCAATTTAATTCTTCATAATTTTTAACGACAAGTATTTTTGTTGCTTCCTTCATATATAATTATTTTACAATTGCAAAATCAGGAAATTAGCAGTAGAAGAAGTAATACAAAGTATTATTGAAATATATACAACTTCTGTAACTTCCATTGTCACGTTACATTCATATATTTATAATTTACTTTTTCTTCCATTTTACATATATTAATTCTCGGATCTCAATGCCCCGATAGCATATTGGAGGAGGTCGACAGATCGTTATTTTATAATCTAATTATGCTCTTCGAATATTATAAAGTCCAACGGAGCACCATTTATCACGATAATTGATCGAGTATAATGCAAACGTATATTGGACTCTCTTGACTGCTATTCGCATTACTTACAATAGGACTATGCCGATGGGCGTGTTAACGATTAATTCATTCTGGAATTCGACATTTCCTTTACGGAATCTCTTCGCTGGCAGATAGATGCGGCCGACGACCTTCTCTAACCTCTTGTTCGTTTTTTATCTTCCGGAAACTACCGCTTTTTCCTCTCGCCTTTGTTTCAAGCACAAAAGAACGATCTCGGGTATTCTGAATTGCGCGAGCCAGCGCGGCAATGTAATTGCCCGTACATATCCCGTAGAAATCGTGGAATTTAAAAACGGTACGAGTCCTTTGTACGCACACGAACGGTGATAATTCCCTGCGTTTTTAACAAAATCGGTCAGCACTGAATTTCCCTGCCGATGTCGTTACCATGCTAACTCGCGTACTCGAGATATTTGTACATAGTCCTGAACGTACGTCGAAATCGCTATTGCACAAATATCCGTTATATGTGGGTACATGGTTATTGTTTGGTGTTTTTTTTTTTTTTTTTTTTTTTGAAACATGCGCCAGCTACTCTACAAAAACTAACGAGGCGAGTGATTGCACAAACAAAAAAAAGATTAGGATTAACTACGATTCTGTGCATTGTACCGTTATGCATTTTTGTTAATCGTAAGCAAGTAACGATACTCAGTTATATTACCAGTCATTTTGCCATGGCGACGCGTTTGAAAGAAGTGTGGGACGCGCCACTAGTTAATCAATACGTAACGGATTCAGTAGGTATATTTGCACGCTCTAAGGATACACGTTAGCGATCGTTAATTTTATTTCATCTCGATTCCCATTTCCGCGAGAGATAGGTTTCAAATAGGATTTGCTCTGCATCTGTTCTGATGTTTATCAATAGCTTTTTTAAAATAGTGAAAAAGAAAATTGTAATAAGGTTAATTAGGAAAATTTTTACTGTAATAGAATACATAAAGAATTCTACTGAGAAATTGTAAATAATTAAAAGCGAGTCGCAAGAGATAAGTTTTTTGTCAATTTATAAAATTATTCCATACTTTATTCATGCGCCATATATTTTCGTTTTCAGAAACGATTTTAGATAACATTATTTTTTAGCTTGTAAAACAATTTGCTGATCAAATGCAGATTTTATTTCAACAGTTTTAGATATAAATTGAATGAACTAACAAGTCAGAAAGAACTAGGGCAAAAGCGATAGCTTTGACACAATGACAACTAAAACAGGATGGACAAGTCGGGACACAGTCGACAAGTAGACATGTCGGAAAGTCGACGACGTCGTAACGTGATCCTCATCTTCTTTTTGTTCCAGGTTTATTTGAGATGGACGGTCTGCTGGTGCCCGGCACGATGTGCGACCACGAGTTTGTCAGTTCGCAATCGACGCCTCAATACGGACGATTTTACTCGCCGCGGTACCCATCCTCCTATCCGAAGAACATCCGGTGCTCCTACCTCTTCCGGGCAAGGTAACTAATCTGACCTACTCCTGAGCCTCCGCGCGCTCTGTTCCGGGGCAGGGGGAGGGAGGAGGGGTCTAATCCATATATAATGCATCTCCGCTGCTAATCTCCGCCGTCGCCATATATCCACTGCTTTAGCACATTTAATGACGACAGTCTGTAATCCTGCTCGCAGTTCATTAACACCCATCCTCTAATGTATCAGAGGACGTTTGATCATATCGGACTGAACATATTTGTTTCGCACAACGTTCAAGAAAAGAAGATTTAATTTCGCGTAGATCACTAAAACTCGGCACACTAGTTTTGGATAGCAAGTCATGTTGCATTTTGATACTACCGCGCTTCTCTCATCATGAAAAATTTTCCGGCTTCCTACTCACCTCAACTTTCGTCGTTCCTCATCTCAGTTCCTTGTTACGTGGCTGCCGAAAGTTTACGTTCGTTCTGTCCGCGCAAGCCGTTTCGTAGCGCAGCGGCATAAAAGCTGTATTCCCGCGCCCTGCTAGCGAGGGAAAAACCAACAAGTTCTTGACATGATCCCTTGCAGGAAACGTTGCTATTCTCTAGCCAGTCCCACGAAACAACACCGAGACTAGACCTCACCACGATTTGCGTATGAAAATACAACTCACGCAACCCATTGTTAACCAGCAAAACGTTAACAAGCGGTAATATTAATTTATCAGAGTACAGAGTAGGAAAAAAGTAATATTATATTTTCTCTCTTAAATTTAGAATATCTATCTGCAGTTTATTTATTTATTTATTTAATAAGATTTCTAGTTTCGCGCTATTATTCATAAACGTCATAGTTCACGTTACGTATTTGTTACACGGTTCATCGAGTTTCGTGGATGTCTGATCTATGTACAACGATCAAAGGAAATAGTTAACGGAGTTGAGTCAGAACGTCGCTCAATCGTGATGAATTTAATCGCGGCGCCAGGCTAGTACGCGCCGCGCGGATGTGATTTCCGTAGTATTGTGGGTTGCTGCTTAATTACAGTAATTGTATCAAAGTAGCGTGTGCAACCCTATATGTCTAACAGTTATGTCAACGCAACGCCGGCCGCTATGCCAGCCGCTATAAAGCCGGCGGATACGTATACATGTATATACACGCGTGCAGTCTATCCGCTAGATATTCATGACACTCGCTCTATATTAACGTACTACACTGTTCTTGATGGCTCGATGTCCTTTGTCACGCCATGATCTCGCTACAAGTGAGTCCTCCAATGATTAGTCATGTATTAAGAAGAAACGTGATGGAAATATATTCAGCTTTGCTTTTCAAACGGTTATACAAGCATTCTTTTACAGTATTTTTACAAAGACATTTTTTACTTTTATATATATATATTTCTATTATTTAACGTTTTTTTCGCAAAAAGATTTGGTCCCGTCACATTGTTCACATCCGCCGCCGACGTCGCCGTCGTCGTCGTCGTCGTCGTCGTCGTCGTCGTCGTCGTCGTCGTCGTCGTCGTCGTCGTCGTCGTCGTCGTCGTCGTCGTCGTCGTCGTCGTCGTCGTCGTCATCGTCGCCGGCGTCGACGTCGTTTTAACAAATTCATACGCTAGGTGCGCTTATAATGAAATTAATTACAGCTCTCGCCCATCTTGTTTCATTAGTACCGCGGGGAACAAGATAAACCGCGCTCGTGTACCGCCGCGCAGTACTTACCGCTCGGACGAAAAATGCATGTAATAATATTTCCGTATTCATAAAAATGCAAGCTTTAATATCGCGAGTTATGTAGCGTTTACAATGGCCTTCATACAGTAGTGAGTGGCGTTATAACGTATTCATCTAGGAAAACGCAAAATAACTTAATTAATTGTATTTCAGGTTGAAGGAGAGAATCCGTTTGGTTTTTGAGGAGATTTCTCTGCAGAAAGGAGATCTGAGGTGAGTGTTATGTTTTTACTTTTAATTTTTTCTAATGCAATTCGAAAAACGTGAAATACGCATTGTATCGATCGAGAAATAATGCAAAGCAACAAATTAGATATTGTCATCAGTTGTCTGAGACATTTTCCAAGCGCGCCATTTCAAAATTTCTTCCCATCATAAATGGTTTACAAATTTTTCCTTCCGGCGCATCCCGAAGTTGATAGATTTGCGGGAGCAACGTTCGGTGCATCCGTGGGAAAAAGTTTGCCGTACGTTCTTCGCATATCCCGGATAGAAATTGAGTTCTGCAAGTTGCGAAAGAGAAAAAGCTAGGGAGATTTAGCGGGAGGGATCAAAGTCGTGAATTCACCAAGTATGACCGAGGCTGCCTCGTCTATGTAAAAGATGCGCCATTAAGCCCCGTCGGCTGGTAGAATGGCATTGGCGCGACCTGTCGATTTAAAACTTTGAAACTGCCGTTCGTGCGGCGTGTTGAAAACAGCGCGTAACCGAAACCGCGAGAGAGATGTCCGGATGGACATAAATGGAGTACGAACGTGGAGACACGTCCGCGAATAGCGGGCTTTCCATTCATGTGATAATTACAGTTTGTACATTGGTTTTCGTACATATTGATTTATTTCTAATTTAGCGATTATTAAAGCATGTTTCAAGAATCTGCTTGTTATTGAGCTTGTTATTTTTACATCATATTTAGTCTGATGTTTGTTACATTGTATACGTTACAAAAAACATATGTTACCTTTGGAAAGAGTATTGAACATTTTGTCATGCTTTCTATATGTATTCAGGATATTTCAACACCTTCGAGATCCCTCCCAACTCCCATTGCACTTTCCGGACCAATAACCCTACAACTCGAGACACGTAATGAAAGCCGCAGGGCTGTTAAAAACTTTAAGACGCGTTTGTACACACTTATACGATCGTGCACACGTACACGATTGCCAAAGGCGACATCCGTTCGTGCAATTTTAAGAAAAAATGGTTCAAGTTGAAATTACGAGAGTATTCAATCGTTACTGCCGAAGACGGACACATTTTTATAGCTTTAGTAACAAATTTCATTGGTTTCGCCAGCGTAATCGTGATTTTATTTCTTTAATATTGAACAAAACGTAAAAATATCTCTCATTGCGGCAAATTATTATATAAATGTAGTTTATTTAAAATTTGATAAATGACTCATAAATTAATTTATCTTGAGGCAAAAAGAATGATCAATTTTTTTATTTAAAAATTAAAATTACATGTAAGACAAAAAGAGTTTTCTTAAATTTTAACATGAGAGTATTTATCGGAGTCTATTGTAGGACTGAAACTATTGTGAAGCAAAATTTTCTATTAATTATCTCTTCTCTATAGCAGAAATCTGCATGTCGCCACTGAATCATTTTTAACAACTTAAGCACGAGATATTTTTCTCGCCGTACAAATTATGGAGCATGTACTGTTTTCCTGGAATATGTGGTAAATTTTAAGTATTTGTGCCGCGAATTTCTGGTACGCTAATTGTGAAATACGACGTCTGTCAGTTATTAACGTTTAAGAGTTAACGAGACGAATATCAGAATCACGAGAGTGCCGACGAAACTTTTCTATTTAAAACTTTCTCTTCCGATACAGCCTCGTGTATTCGATACAGCTCGAACAGTGTACGTCAGTCGGTGCGCCGGCAATAGCTAGCAGATGGATTGAGCATGCAATGAAGGACGATATATAGTTGTCCATCCTCTTAATTTTGTATATTTATTTTTTAATCTAATTCCGTAAATACTAAATACCTATAATTAAACAATGCGTTGCTACATGCGAGTTATTTCATCTGTCATTCTTTTTACACGAGTATCTATAACTCGCGGAAACTCAAATCCTTCAAATTATCTTGAATTAATTCCAAGTAAAATCTCTCTATAAACTCGCGGCAATCGTAAAAGTTACTCTGCGCTATCTGGGGATTTTATCGACTAGGTGACGACACGAATAGATAATCGGCGTCGATTGGCTCGGCTGGCTAGGTAAAACATTTAGGTCGAGGTAGCACGAGATAGAGATTCGACACTTAGGGAGGAGTAAAGCCAAACGAACCATTAAACTAATCAAACGAACTCGTTTGAATGTTTGTCGAGGAGCGGTAATGACCGTGGACGTCGCGTCGTAAACGTTGTCCCCCCCGCTGCCGAGAAACATTGATGCAGAATTTTGTTGCTGATTCATATTGCCGATGGACGACACGTGAAAAACTTAAACAATTTCAAAGATCGTGTTTTTTGTTATTCTTTCTTTAGAATATCCTCTCCCCGTTTTTTCTTTGTCCTTTATGACACTTTTTATTCTAAAATTTTTTTCATGCGTATACTCTTTGAAATATATTGTAAACGTAGATAATTTTTTTATATTTTTATGTAAACGAGCATATATTAATATATTCGTATATAGATTCGTATATAGATAAGTTTTTTCCTTATATTATTGGCTAAAAATTTATCGTTATTGGAATCGTATATTACAAGTATATGCACGAAAAATGTCATATATAAGTGAATGAAAAGAAGCTATATATTTGGAGAGATATCTATATTAATTTAAAATTTCAATGAAATGGTAATATTCAGTAAAAAGATAGGCTTGTTTGCGTAGTAATGTTTTTCACATTGACCAATGAACGTGCGAGCGAACGATCGATCGACGGACGAGTTTGCTGTAATTTAAACGCTGCTGTATACGTATTGAACCTCCTACGTTTTATGAGCGTTCCATGTGCGTGCCGAGAATAATCGCGGTCGTTAGATATATCTCGTTACGCTGCGCGAAGAGCGTTCGTGAGTTGGTCTTCCGCGATCGGTACTGTTCCTGAGTACTTAGGGTACGCGGGGCTGATGTTCCGTGTACTTACGGCATGCAAATCAGCGGGAGACTAGATACATTCGCGGTCGCCGACCCGAAGCGATCTGATGTATTATCAGTCCATGAATGAGAGATAGCCTCTTCCTGCGCGCGACTCCAAATTTTACGATCGTCAATACGTCAAATTGCTAATGCTTCAGATATTACTGACATAAATCTGCCAGGCAGTAATACTGCGAGCTTGACTACCGATCCTTTCAAGCTGGCTGCCATAGATTCCCCTGTCTCTCCGTTTTCCCTTGGTTAGTACCATTGAGAACGCGACAAGCCTGGACTTCGTATGCACACGCTGAAGATCAGAATATTTTTTCGAGCAAGTCCTATATATTTCATTTGAACCATATTTCATGTCGAGGTCTCTCTCTCTCTCGTGTTTTTTACATTTTTACATGTAGTTCGGTAAACTTCATATCCCTACGTTGGCCTACGAGCGCCACGAATACCTTACCAAGATATTTACGACGAATTCTACCGAATTGCGCCTCTATCGGTCTTTGTTAAGGATTTAAAGCCAGCTATACGAATTTAACGCACGAATTTCGCCTCTCGTTGTAATTAACTTCGCCGCAATACGATCTCGACTTGACAGCGATAGCGTACTTTTACGGGAATTCTCTCTTTTTAAATCTCAGTATGTGCCGGTTACACCTGACCTCTAAATCCTTTGAATACGGTGTGGACCACGATTCTACTTAACCCACATAAAGTTCCTCTCTGTGCGAAGACTTAGAGCTGAGAATGGTGATTGGGAGGTCGACTTGGAGAAACGAGAGGTGCCTGGGGACTTGCAGTTGCAGCGTGCAGGAGTTAATCCTTGATAAATCCTCGAACTCTGTCCTAATTCGGTATTGAGCTCCCTTAATTTCATTCCGTTAGTGACCTTTTAACTTTGAACTTTGAAATCAGAATCAATAATTTTTGCGATTATAAAAACTGCGCTAAAGATGCGTAAATAAATAGGTAATATCAAGGCAAGGCTTAAAAATTCTTACTTGGTTTTGTCATCAAATAATAACATTTTATGCGTAAATTGTATAATTATTTTCAAATAACTTATTCAGAAGAAAATTTAAAATTTAAATACAATTTTAAAAAATATTTTTTCAAATACTACACCACATGAGTACAAGGAATGCTACACTCATGAAATCTGAGAAAATTGAGAATATTTTATACAATGGGGCTAGGTCAAATAATACGAAAGCAAATATAATTTTCACAGCGAGTGTAGCGAGATATGAATAATAAGCAATTTTCAAATCGCATTATGCTATTACACAAATCTCTATGAAAGCAACATAGCTGAAAATAGAAAGAAAATACCATCCTGAAAATAACTAGCTTTCATATTCGCGCGTCTTTGGATAAAATAATTAAAAAGATTTAATAATTTTATTTTTTAAATAAAATCTACTTTTATATATATTATAATATATATGTGTATTAATATTATGTTTTATTTATAATATATTCACCTGACGTACGCAACAAGAAGAAATTAATAGTAAAAATTTTATAAAATCTTTTAAAGAGGTATACATGTATATTTTTCCATACACATATTACTGTCTAAATTTTTAAACTTTCTGCTTTATTTGGCGGTGGTTTTATTTTGTGAGTATGAAACTGGTACCAAATCTCGTTTAAACTTCACTTTATATTCTGTTTCGCACGTTCTATCAGGGTCCAGCTACAACCTGTAACATAGTGATTCACAAGCAATTTGCTGTCAATGCAGCAACCAGGACTTATTTTTATAACAAAATTTGTGATTTTTAAATAATTAATTTACATAACACTGTGTAATTTATTCACTTCCAAAATATTGGCAGATACGTATTTCTCAAATAATAATTCACGCCTCCAATCCTATATATTTGTAATAAAGACGGGTCTATCAAAAATATATAATAATGTAATAACGTATGTTGTTTTTTATGGAAATAATATTTATGATTCTTTACATAAAAATTGGACATATTCATGTCCTCATGAATACCGATGGATTCAACGATGTTTGTATAACGGGATAAATTGATGGACTCAATATTAGCTCTACGCTGACGTATTTATACGAAGTGGTTGTAGCGGATGAATGCTTTCACTGTAACGTCAAATCAGAGGAGAATACCCGAACCTGACCAAATAACATCGACTCACGCAATTATTTACTGTTCATGCTTTCATGAAACATCACTGTGTATGGTAAAATATGGTTGTAACTAGATTTTCATTTAATTTTTGTTTTATCAAAACTTTACACAATGATAATTATTTTTTAGTAAATGAAATCAATAACGTGACAATAAATAACTCGGAAAAAAAGATTTTATTTTATATTTGCAGAATGATGAGCTAGATGATTATCCTTTCTACAATGAGAAAATAAATTTATTATATAATCGCGGGGTCTTCGGTTAAACCTAGCATGAGGAAAAGAAAGATCCATTGAATTGAAAGACGATACGCGAAATACGGTCGACAAATCTGCGATCGATAACGTTAATTTATATCGTAGCCGATGGCACTTCCCTCCAAGACTGGTGGTAAAAATCTGTAAGAGCTCGGATAAGAGCTGAGAAATGCCTCCATATATCAACGTTAAGCCGCTCCGTCAGATGCACTCGGATATTATCGTGAATGGTGCTGATGGATACCGAGAGACTCCTCCATCTAGCACTCGATACACTCCTAGTCTACCCGAGTGCACGCTTATAGCACGCACGTATGCCGCTCGTTCGCTCATATAAAGTTATAGTTGAAAGAACTATCGATAATATCAACTATCGACAGTATCAATAATCCCTTCTTATGGATATAAGTAATGAATAATCCCTTACTATATGCATACGTTAACTTGCGAAAAGTTTAATAAAAAGAAAAAGAAGATGTAGAGCGGTTCTTTGTATCGCCATTCGATACTTCAACGTGCTTTCACGCTTGAATTCAAGTTTCCAAAGGTAAACGTTACTTTAACGATATTCATGGAATAGCCACTGAGACATAGTAGACGGAATAGGAATAAAATCGACGAGAGTAAAATGGAGTCGGCGATGGCCCGAAGTAAATCTTATTGAGCACTTGAACAATTCCGTGTACACACCCTGACGCTGCGCTAAATTAACTTTGATAGACGGATTTGCTTGCGTTCGCGTTGAGTTCACTTACGCGCACCACTAACTTCGTGGTTAAACTTTTCAATCTGAGTGTTTCAAACGGATTTGATATTTGCATCTCATTATAATGTTCATCTTCAAATCCGGTGATCGAAATTGGAAATAATCTTGTACCTCGGTTGAGATTCGCCGTAGATACAAAATATCTTACGGCGAAGAACGACGCTATCGTGCACGTGTAAGTGAGGTCAAAAGTCGCACGTGTAGGTTCACAGGCAAGGAAGCGGAACGGACAGGCGGGACAGGGGTGGCTCTTTAATCTCTGGCTCTTCCGACGATAATCTTTCTCTGCCAACGTAATTGCTTAACCCGTGCAAGTAATAAGGTTATCCCGTCTGCCGTCATCGATCAAGCCTTTAAATCGATTGGATCGGCGGCGATCTCGTCGGTGTAGTGCACGATTCCTAAGGCCGAAGGCATCGGAGATGTAATACTCTTCTTTGGTTCGATCAAGTGGAGTAGTTCGCGTACACGTATGGAACGAATCGTCGGTCGTCGAGACCTCTCTCCTTGGCCTGCCGCCCACAGCTCGTCTTGCTGGCGACGCCGTCCTTTGTCACTGTACACTCTTTCAGTTTCACCTTCAACCCCGCTGAACTGTCTCGCTTCCTCCTACCTCTAATCTCTTTTGTCTTCCCGTTTCGATCCTGTTTCCCCCTCGCTCGCGTTATCTAGACGAGCCGCAGAACTCAAAGCGGACTTAACATACCTTCGTTGTCGAGAATCTCAAGGACTCTCTCTCTCTCTCTCTCTCTCTCTCTCTCTCTCTTTATTCGCGCGTCCCATTTCGAGATCTAAATCTTTATAGAGGTAAACTTCCACAAAGTAAAGCTCTTTGACAGCTTTGACTTAGGGGACAACATTAAGGCAGCAAGATTACATTAACATAGATTTTATCTCAATGGATTCTTTATTTCTTTACTTCTTAACAGCGCAAGTGTCAATTAATTTAAAAGAGAATATTTCAATTTCTCAGAGCGGATTATTCGCGACTGAAGGTAATGTACCGATAAGTTGCCGGCTTCTAACGGAAAGCACATCCTGTTACAGTTGCCTGAATAGGGCGGATTTAATCAGGGTGCACGACGGTACGGATTCAGGGGCACCCACAATAGCCGTGCTCTGCAACCAGGGAACGGAAGTGGAAGTACTCAGCACAGGACCAGGTCTCTACGTCGAGTTCGTCGCTAATTCCGAGTGGCCGGGCCAGGGCTTCAAGGCGATGTTCCAATTCCAGCCATTGGACGATACGCTGCATCCTGGTCAGTAACGAACGACGATTACTCGTCGACATCACGAAAATCCATCCTTCCGACCATCCTTCAATCCCGCCACGGCCACATTCCTCTTTCTTCGGCAACGTCTCATCTCCTGCGATGTGTAAGACCGCGGCCATTGGTAACGTTTCCGCTCAGGTGAGTCTCTAAAGTCATGGGACGAGCCATTAAATTATCCATTGACTTGTTGAGCGCTGAGGAAGAGTTATAGAAATATCTTTTACATTTCACTCTGTGCTCAATCCAGATTGTCTCTCTTTCTCACTTATGCGGCAATTTTTTATTCTTGTGAAGACCAACAGCTTGGCAATAATCAACCTTTCTGCTTTTTATAAATCTCTTTTAATCATCAATGTCATATCATTATGAAAATTCTTGCTTCGTAAGCACAGAGATTTTCATATAACTCGTATCTTCATTAAAATATATTTACATCCTTCTAACAGACATAAATATATTTAAGTAATCGATTAAAAAAGAATAGTCATAGAGTCGAAAAGAAGTAGGCATTAAAAAAAAATTTAATTGATACTATTAAATTATTGAAGTATATATGCCAAGTTGCCGATCGGTAACTGTAGCTCGAAGTTCAAAAGCTCAACATAATGTGTCGCTATGTTGAAGCATGAAAGCGCCATGAAACAGAGCTTTTGCGAAGCTTTCCGGTAATGCTGGAGCTTTTCACAGTCGGCAAGGAAGAGCGTGAAGCTTTCCAGCAAACTGTAACACCCAGAGAGAAAGCTTACATTTCTCTGGCAATGTAGCACCTACTTTGCTTACTTGATAATCGATCAAATCATCCAACATTTTTCCAGACATATTTGGACTGTTTTTTAATTTTACCCATTGTCATTACTATATTTTTCGACATTGCCATTAATAGATATACAATAAAATGATAAATAAACATACAATATATTGATGATACCATGTGATAACTAAGTTTTCGACATATATCGTGTATCATCACAAGGCATTATTATCGATAAATGCCTTTGTTCATTATACAATTAATTTAGCAAATTTGATTAATACCGACATTCAATTATTACTTTGACAAAATCTAAAGGTTGACCGCTGGTATTCTCATTTTCAACAAGAATATACCCTAATGTATTTACAAGACAATGAATCATGCGGATAGAGCCTTTGTTCTATAGGTAGATTGGCCGCGGTCCATTGCATACGCAGCTCCCTGTTGTAATTAACGGCACTGTATATTCTAGGGATAATTACAATAATGTGTTTCAGAGTCGGACAAGGTCCCAGGGGCCGTTACGGGGAACCCCAAGTACTCGGTCATCGGACCAGCTGTCAGCGCTACTAGTAAGTATACATACATTGCATGCTGTGCGCGCGATTTATCACCTTTCTTAATCAATAATTGCCTCGCCGCGTCCCATGGCACTTTCTCCGCAAAAGATAAATTTCTGCAAGCTAAAGTACAAAATCGGGATTTTACCTTAAGGATGATAGGCATTAGCTTCGTTAAACGTAAAAAAGATACAGGAACGTCTACGCCGATAAGTGATACAGCTTACCAACTTGTATCGTAATAAATTTATTAGATCTGCTAGTTTCTTACAAAAAAAAAATTATTACACTCGCGGGACTTTTCAAGCGACTGAAATGTAATCTGAGAAACGTGACGTACAGTCTAGGAAACAAGATACCTCAATGTAAAATAAAATTTTACTTTAGATGTAACATACTTTTATGAAGTCTGAAAGAATAAGGGTAACATCAGTCCCCGGGGTATATGTCGTTGTTTAAAAGGATTATTTTGATGTCTTCAACATGAATGTCGGCGAATACGTGTAGAAATATGATTTTCCCCAGAGCCCTCAACACATAACTTCTCCGTAACGCAGCGGCGTATAAACTTTGTGAGTACTTTACGCTTGTAGAATCATCACCCGTATGTTACGGACGATGGTGAAAGCTCGACGGACTCCAAACTTTACGACTTTTTCATGAAAATAAGATGCTTGTCTTATATCCTAAATATTTGCCATAAATTTAGTTGAGCTCCTGTCGATGACTTAACTTCCGTTTGTTCGTGGCTCCGAATTCAAAATTCAACTTATTCCGTCTTTTATTGACATATACAAATAATATAGATGCAATTTGACAGTATTTGAATTACGATCATGTGGTTATCGTATTTTTATTATATTATATATTAATTATATAATTATTATATATTAATATATAATAAAATATGACAGCTAAAAGATATGTTAGATGTATATATACATCTAACACACACACAAAATACGCGCGCGCGCGTGCATATAATATTTTATATTAAATTCAATAATCAAGTTTTTCTCTTTTTCTAACAATAAGTTATAACATTTATATAAATTAAAAGTTTTTATATAGAAATCGCTTTCGATGCGCGTATATATGCTAATGTGGTCCTTTAACATTTAATTACATGCATTCAAATTATTCAAATACTTCCGGGCTTGATTCTAATCTCAATTTGTACGTGGGACTTGAGACCTCAACATGTTTACTCATGTAAATCTATCTCTTAATACGGGTGAACAACAACAGCTGCGGCGTACGTAGGAATGCGTGACAATGAGAACCTTTACCAGCACAACCGAATCATGAGGGTGCTCGAAGCTCGAATGGGAGCCTCCTATGAGACACCGAAGCTTATGAGGGCCGATCCTATCCTGTCTTTTAGACTCTCCTCCACACGATGTTTAGGGTTACCTTAAAATAATTATAATTAAACCGATGTACGATCTACCTGCTTTTATTCGCCAACGTGCTACGCTGTAGATATGCAAAGTTTGCATATCTACAGCGTTTGCATTAATATATTTTTATTGCGTTATCTTTGTGAAAAAAGTCGATTGATATTTAATCTTTTGTAATATTATATAACATCTGTCAGAGTAATATATAATGAGCAGTTTTTTTGAAAACATCTCAGCATTGAGATCGTCAAGGGATGAACTAATGGTCACGAGAGGAAGATTGAAATGTTTTCAAAGCGATATCGGTAGATTTCGATCACAGATCCGTGGCACGTTTGTGCACTAACTGTAATTACGTAAAGTGAGAATGAGCAATGTCGTCGTAGTAAGAGTGGGTTTCATTTACGTAATTGGTTGGTTACGTGAAAATATCGTCGGGGTTCGTACCGTGAAAACCTACCAAAGGCTAACTTCTGCGTATTCTCGCCTTTTTCTTCGTCTTTCTTTTTTAATCGAACGAGAACGAAACGAACGTCGATAAGGTAATTACCGTAGAAATTAAGTGCGCCGATAAATAGACGGTGGAAGTTGTTCTATCGGAAACGGATGGTCAAGTTTTCCAATTTTTTCACGCTTGACTGTGAGAGAAGGAACAAATTGCGTACTGGGACGGTATACACTGGGCGCAATAACGCGTGCATCCAGGATCACTTTATAGGTCCCTCGTACGGTGCTGTTTGCCGTACGACGCGGAATGAAGCGAATAAGCAATAAATAACGTCCGCGGACAAACTCGCGCGCGCGCGTCAACGAGGGTAATGTTCCGCTAAACGTATATACGCGTTAGCTCCCCCAAAAAATAACGTATTTCGTCGCAGATAATGTCAGCCGCGAGACGGTAAATTCTGATGGCTATGCCAGACCGCCGCCGCCGCCGCCGCCGCCGCGCCGCGCCGTCGCGTCGTATGGGGAGAAACCGTACGGCCGAGAGCCGCGTCGAGAATGCGAGAGAGAAACGAAACGGGAACGCGTACGAATGATGGATCGAAATTCTACAATTTTCTCACTCCGTTCGGGAAAGTGCTATGTATGTGCTATGCTCGCACGATGCTAACTTTGCAAACGACGTAACGTTGTTTCCCGGTATTTTACGCTCGTCTCCAAGCCGGAAAGTACGCTTTCCTGTGAAACTAATAATAACTTTCTGCAGTGCGCACGCTTTACACTTAAGATGTAAGTGTCGCAAACTTTCTACGACGTACCCAGTTGCGATAACAAATTTCCTTTACTACTATTAGAGCGATTTAATTGCCGATGAAATATCGTTCCTTCTGTCAAGGGCTAGAATAAAAAGATTCTTTTTTCCCGCGAGGATGATGAATGTTATCTAGACAGTAATATCGTATCGTGTCGTTATATAGTGTGATTGTAAAACTTTTTTTTTAAATTAAATCTCTTAAATTTATATCACACTTATATATATATATATATATATATATATATATGCGATGTCTTTTCCAGTTCGATCGATATTGATGCTACGTTTGTCGAATTTTAAAGAATCACGAATAACGGCTATCAATGAGTTCGATGATACGCGACATGCTATTTCGTAATTGCGATAATGTACCACAGCAATATTGGTAAACTCTAGATTGATGTGTCATTATGGCTCATAATTTATGAACGGAATGACAAATTTACATGGCCGTAAGTGGAGCGCAAGCACTCCAATTTTATATTCTTGAATATTCACGTTATTCATTAGCTATGAATATGTACGCTCGTCGTAGCGCATTGCACACGCATCTAGTTAAAAATATTCTACTAGCGTGCTGATCAGGTGTGCTGGTGTATGCATAACGGTAAATTTGCTACATAATGAATGGCACATTGATGTCGCACGGCCCAATCGCAGATATTGTTTGTCATACGCTAATTTATTGAACAGGTGGTCGCAAATATGTATATGATCAACGTTACGTTGTACATTGCAAGAGAAAAGAAACACTCTCTAGTATTTTCTGCGGAAAATTAGGACACCAATCAGTAACAGCGGTAACTGCTGCCGTGATTCACTGAGAATTCATCAACTGTGAATCGTGATTTTGGATATAGTTCATCTCCTTCAGTGTCCCCATTTAGGATTGTCATAAATCGTAACGTAATTGTGGGGAGATTCATGGTTGCTCTACATGAACATGTTAAATCGTTACACGCAAGCAAACGCGTCGTGTTAAAACGAGAGAGGTGATTACATCGTCAGTGATAAGAGAGAAAAAAGAGAGAGAAAGAGAGAGACATTGTTGTTGGACGTACGGACAATATAATACGTGCTATCCCATCACTAGGCTCTACCGACGACATCCAACAATGAGGTTTGATCATAATAACGTCGGTCATAAAACCGCGCGCCCACCTGCGTCTATGTGTCGGATGCAGAATGATCCACTCGAAACGAAACGACCTCGTATGATAAAGTGGGTACTAAACCGGCCGCGGTGAAAAAAACGAGACTTGTAGAATCCTATTATCGACACTTGTCCGGCGGACACTGCGTACACTACCGCCGAAATTTACGACGGAGCATTTTACCTTTTAACCCCCCCTCCTCCTCCCCTCCGTTTGCGAAAGTTTCTTCAAATTTCTTCCCCGCCATTATAGCAAGAATTATTACGATGTTCACGTGTAAACTACGGGAAAAGGATATAGAAGAGACATCAATTGATCGTAAAGAGTATTTATCAGCGAATTGTTTATCACTTTTTTTTCGAAGCGCTTAAATATTGTAAATAACTAATTTAAACGCAGGTTACATTTATCCCGTCAATGTCCAAATTGATTTGTGTATATTCCCTTGTCGTTTCTATTTGAATAATTGCTGCGATTCGCGCGCGGTTATATAGAAGGTACGCCGCAAAAGCTATTCATAAACATTATGCGATGAGCGGCATTAACATGTAGCTGCAGGGAATGCTCGCGCACCTCACTGCAGGAATCATACGGGATGCCGATAAATCGTCGTGACTGCAAGCAGTGGATCTTTTGCCGGCGAGCCGTCGATTCGGCGACTGGTTATCGATTTCTCCGGGTGTGCGGTCGGGATACCGAAATCGAGCGTTCCGAGGTAAGTCCCGGACTGTCGGAAATGTATAAGATCCATCTCGCGCGCTTTTCAGGGATTGACGTTGAAAGAGTCACGATTTACGTTAGCCCTTTTCTCCATGGAGAAAAGAGGAAGAGAGACGACGGGGAGACGGTGACCCCTCGGAAGCCGTAGAAATCTAATAGACCGCAAGCGAGGATGAGATATTGGTTCGGAGATCGGTCTCGATCGATGAAGCGTAACAGTACTTACCCTAGCGTATCGTGAAATTCGTATTCAACCCGTTCTTGCGGATACGGGACTTTCCCGATCGTTTTACCGCCTTGTCCGCGCACCTTGACGATTGAATTAACAGCATGAGCGAATCTAGCCTTTTGCACATCAATAGCGCGTGTCTTCTTCACTTTTTCTTCGATTTTTTGCGAATAAAAGATAAAAGGATAGATACAAAGTAATAATCAAGATGAGGTCCATTAATACGACTCGTAAAAGTGCACTGATAAAGG